GGCACGCCAAATTCACTAAAATGAGATAAACCTAGTTTCACAATTGATATACTAGGTTTATTGACTGTAAACTATAGTTTACAAACCGTAAACTATAGTTAACGATTCGTTAAGTATAGTTTTCATCTGTAAAACTATATTTAACGGTCGTTAACTATAGTTTACGAATGCTAATCTAAGTTTATCTGACTGAATAAAGCGTTAACAATAGATTTTGTTGATAAACATAGATTCACGTTTGTAAACTATAGTTTACAACCGTAAACTAAGGTTAAGAGTTGTTAATCATAGTTTCACAAATTGTGAAATTATATTTATCAGATCGTTAACTATAGTTAACGGTTTGTAAACTATAGTTTACAAATTGTGAATCTGTATTTATCAGATAATCTATGTTTTGCAATCGCAAATGATTGTTTTCGGTGTTAAGTATAGTTTACGGTTGTGAAACATAGATTATCGCGTTAACTATGGTTTACAGATGTGAAATATAGATTAACGTTGTTAACTATAGTTTACAGTCCGTAAACTATAGTTTACAACTGATAAACCTAGTTTATCGATTGTGAAACTATGATTATCTCATTTTTGTTAATTTGGCGTGCTATACATATGGTCCACGTATTGTAGTCCTTTTTTAAAGGACAACAACCTTTTTAATTTTTTTCGTAGGGTATGTCTATAAATTTGGGATAGCTATTCTGCATTTACAATATCAATGGAAATTTATCATTTACTACGAGCTAAAGTTGCAACAAAAAAGACAATACGAATGCTGTCGTCTGAACGCACCCCTTTAACAGCTGCCTGATGTTACGGACATGTAACATGTTTGCTGTGTTTGAATTTGCATGTGACAGCTAGTATACTATGTTATTGGAAAATTTTGTATCGATAATGGATAAACATTTCTATTTCAGTAAGTTTAAAAGCATTGGAAACCTACATTTTCGCTTTTCTACTGCTATTGGAACGTCGTCAACACACTTCGACATGGTTGGGGACCGCTTTCGAGAATGTACATGTACATGTAGGCCTAATTGGGATATCGGCGATTTGTTATGTTTTAAAATTTCTGGCGGTTGGGTCTTTTAACGGAGTGCCCTTCGACATTCCTGTAGCTTTGAAATGGGCGATCCCGTCTTCTTCCCCTTTCGATTCCAATTGTTATTCTGACGTCGACTTTCTTAGGCCTATGTCGAACACGTCTTGGTCATTTATACAACATTGAAATATTTTTATTTATAAATATATAAAGTTAAACATGTAAATCATTAAAACTAATACTATAAAAAACTTTTTTGTAAACAATGAACTGCGTATAAGTCAAATTTAAAAGCTGTCGACTCCATATTGTTTATCGTTGCGATGCCGACGATGTGAATGATGTTAACAAGAAAACTCAGAATGCACCTGAAATCAATGTCGACTCTTAATTATTAGCCCAACATGTAATGTCAACGATGTGAACAAAAAAATCAACATAAGACAACATAAGTAAAAAAAGAGACAACATAAGGCAAAGTTGGAGCAATGTCAACTCGATAACGTTCAATGTTGCGATTTTGACGATGTGAACGATATTAGCAAGAAAATAGAATTGAATGTTGAATTAATATTAACTCAATATCGCCCACTCAATAGGATGTCCACTCGACAACGTTTAAAACTGCAATAAAGATTAACAAAGATATTGTCCAACATTATTATAAAGACAGTGTAATCAGAATGAGAGAGTGTAATATTACAAGATGTTACCCCATTCATTCGACGAAACTTTGCTTATGTGTGCAAATTTACATATGAGTAAATATACACATTTTAGTAAAAGTTAATTTTCTATGCGTTCAGACGAGATTTATGTACTGTAAGTAAATCCTTATACATGTATTTTCATATAAAATAAGGTGATCCACAAATTCAGAATTGTAAAATCTTATAGAAAAAGGTCATTTTCTTACTATTTGGGTATAAGACTTTTGAATGTTCCTCAAAGAAAGAAGGGAGAAATCCGATCCATATATTTTTGATATGGAAAAAAGCAAACTTTTAGGAAAAAAAGGGAAAATTAGTTGAAATCATTCTTTAAAATTGGAAAATGCGTTGGCCTCGGTCCTTAAGACTATAGAAGAGCCGTTGAGAGTTTAGAAAAGATGGCTGTTGTCATCTATTGTATGGCGTCTTCAGCAGAGTAAAGTACGACTCGAAATCTTATTGGTGTTTGTAAATCAACAGTATATCAAGTTTGCGAGGTCATTATGAAGTTTATGCTGGAATATTTTATGTTTTTTTTTTCAGGAGAATAAAATGGGTTTTTTTAAAAATTCAAACAAAACAAATATGTGAATGGGAAATAAACATGAATCCCCTAGAAATGCATGGTGGGACCAGGTGCCAAGGATCGAGAATACTTAAAAATGCTTAATTTCAACATGCTTGTTGAAATTCCTGTAGCATGAATTTATATGTCCGTAGCTTGTCTTGGTGTAAAAACAAAGAAAGGTAGAAGAAAGTCAAACTAAAATGGTACCGGGCGATTGATGTAATGCCTATACCTATCACAGGTCCGGAGCATTTCCATGAAGACAGCTAGAATAGTAAGGGTTTACTTATTGATCCTTCAGGGCACATGTTTGCGTGATCACTGTTATATTTTTATAATTTAGAAGCATAAACATGGGTTTGCCAGAAAGGGTTCAAATGCGCACGTTTTTGTAAATTCAAATTTATCTTAGAGGAGAATGGAGATATAGTGTGGATCCTTGTTATCAGGGTTGAAAAAACCATTTGTGGAAAGAACTATGCTATAACAACCCGGCGTATCCTTTGAAGACTTTAAAGCAGTACCCTTACAAACTCGAATTACTTTCAGCCGTCTTTGAGGTACAGCAAAGATGACCATTAAAATAAAAAAAAATCCATTTTTTATGTTTTGCATTTTACCCTATCAAAAAACAACTATAGTAAACTATAGTTAACTATAATTTACTATAGTTAACTATAGTACCAAAGTTGTAACTTTGGAACTTTGATTTACTATGGTGAAAACTTTGGAACTTTGATTTACTATAGTGAAAACTTTGGAATTTTGGTTTACTATGGTGAAAACTTTGGAACTTTGATTTACAATGGTGAAAACTTTGGAACTTTGATTTACTATAGTGAAAACTTTGGAACTTTGATTTTCTATAGTGAAAACTTTGGAACTTTGATTTACTATGGTGAAAACTTTAGAACGTTGATTTACTATAGTGAAAACTTTGGAACTTTGATTTCCTACAGTGAAAACTTTGGAACTTTGATTTACTATAGTGAAAACTTTGGAACTTTGATTTACTATGGTGAAAACTTTGGAACTTTGATTTACTATAGTGAAAACTTTGGAACTTTGATTTCCTACAGTGAAAACTTTGGAACTTTGATATGCTATAGTGAAAACGTTGGAACTTTGATTTACTGTAGTAAAAACTTTGGAACTTTAAGCACTTTAAACCCATGGGATTATGGTATTGCTTCCCATTCTGTACATTTTATACATTTCAAGGTTAAGATTCATGAAAGCTTCAGAATTTATTTTTTTCAGAAACCCGAATTGTCTCGTAAATAGAACAAAGTACAAGAAATGGTTTTAATGTAAAAATTGTCTCTTGCACCGATAAATAAGCAGTATTTATTTAAATTTGTTTAATTTTAATTTGCGCAGATAGAACGTAATTTAAATTTATGGAGAAAAAAATTACTAGAAGATAAAATTGAGTCGTTTAAAATCAAAATATTTGCTTCAGTTACATCAGTCATCATGTTTTTTTTTCTAATATTAAATAACAGATTGCATTTAAATTAACCACTTTTCATATTCAAATTAAGATGAACAATAAAAATCAGCCTAAATAAACCCAATATAATCTCCCTTAAAAATTTTTAATAATTAAAAAAAAAAAACTTTATTAAAATATATATATTGTTAAAGTAATTACGAAAAAACATTGGAACTTTGATTTATTATAGTAAACACTTTGGAACTTTGATTTACTATGTTGAAAACTTTGGAATTTTGATTTACTATAATAAAAACTTTGGAATTTTGATTTACTATGGTAAAAACTTTGGAACTTTGATTTACTATAGTAAAAACTTTGGAACTTTGATTTACAATGGTGAAAACTTTGGAACTTTCATTTACTATGGTGGAAACTTTGGAACTTTGATTTACTATAGTAAACTATAGTTAACTATAGTTTACTATAGTTTACTATAGTATTTTTTTGTTAGGGTATAGCCACCATGTTAATAGACTGATGTTAAATAGACAATAATACATGAACAACAGAAACAGCACTAAAAATGGAGATTTGTGCAATAAACAAAACAAAATACATACATAAGTAAATTTGCTGCGAGTTCATACGACAAAATTTACGCACATGAACTAATAATGTGCGACAACATGTATGCAAAAGTTAATTTGCACCTAGTCCTGACCAGGTTTAAATTTACTCAACTGTGCAGAATTTACATGTGCGCAAATCAGTTCATAAGACCAACATTGCACATATGAGTAAAATATACCGAGGGTATACAAATCACATGGTATGAATGGGGTATTATATTAGTGTTATTTAACATTAGGGAGTTTAAAAAAGTTACATTAATAATGCTACTTGAATGAGGAGCAATGTGTAATCTGTTATGAATTAAGAGTTATAAATATATATATACATAGGTGTCGACAACATCGATAGAAAATCGTGCATTAGACATACATCAAGCCTTTTAACAAGTCAGCAAGATTTCGTATAATACAAGACAAAAAATATGTTGTATTGAGCGCGTCTTCAACGAATGAATAAGTCTTGGGAATTGTGCGTTGTCTTTTTTCATGTAGTGTTAGAAAACTATTGGAGAATTTAATCTTCTGAAATACTTGAATTAATATACATATCTTTATCTTTATTATTGGAACATTACTTTTTGTACTTTTTTTTACCTCTCAGGAAAATGAAACTACATTGACCAAAATCGAAATGTATACCAAAATACTGAATTTTATTGTTGGAAGAATTAAAAGACAGGCAAACTTTGCACCGGGAGGGGCTGCAGCAGAAGAACACACAATAGAATATGTTATCGCCACTCCTACCCATTGGAAAGGAACACAATTATTGAATGATTTTGAAGAGGCTCTTCAGAAGACAAAAGAGGTAAATTTCTTTACAAGGCTTAAAATATATACACAAAAAACGCTACTTAGAAAACAATCCTCAAATACAATGCTTTGAGTAATTTTATTTGTAGAGTGCTGAACAACTCATACGAGTAAAATTGGACTCAAATGTAGTTTTTTCATTAGAATGAAATTTTATGCTCATTAAAAATATTGTTTCTGCCAGCCACAAACCCAGATAGCAGAATGTTTTGGACCCTTGTTGGGCCAACAATACTCCTTATGTTAAACCACTGTATGCATTCAACATTGGGCCATCGGTATTTGCTTATCGGCCCTTAATCAAACCAACTTGCTGGCTTATTTTTGGGCCAATATAATAGTTAATATTGGGCCACTGTTGGGCCAATGTATTCTTTCAATACTGGTCAAACGTAATTTTTGTACACTTGGGCTATTGTAAGCAATTAATTTAGGGCCAACGTTAATTTGCTCATTGGCTCTTAATCAGACCAACTTGTTGGCTTATTGTTGGACCAACGAACGGATATATTGAGCCATTGTTGGGACACTTATTCTTTCAATATAAGGCAAACATCAGTTTTGGGCCAACGTTGGTTTGTATCTTATTGGCTCTCAATCAGGACAACTCATTTGCTCTTCACTGGTTGGCTATTTGTCCTCAAAATTGAATAACAAACTTTATATAATAAATTTATACTAGTTTTGCAGCACAGTTTAATGGTATAAGCCCTTTAATACTACATGTATATATGCTAGATGCTAGATTAATAGTTTAATAGATATATTAACAATATCTCATTGAATTACCATCAAATATTGCATTGTAAGTAGCTCTACATTAATTTTAAAAAACCGAGGTAAAAGAAATCAAAATATAAAATGAAATTATAACATACTACTGTATACAGGGTTATTTTCGCCCCGTGTTATTTTCGCCCTTTCACATCTGAGAACAAGTTTACCCCGTTTTAAATTCGCCGAAAAGGATTTTGGTTTATGATATTATACAATTTACTTTGAATTCGCCCCGTTTTAAGTTCGCCCACTTTAGGCATGGGTGAAAGGGGCGAAAATTAAACGGGGGCGAAAATTTCCCTTTATACAGTATTATTTTATTGCTCAGTGCATGAAGAAAACATTTATATAAGCTGTATTTTTTACAATTTTATTTAGCTATTAAAATGTTTAATTTTGAGAAATATTCATGTACTTTAGACCTTTATGGTCAATTATTTAAGAAATAAACAACGTTATTTAGTGAACATGGCGTTATGAATAGCAATTGCTCTGCTGGCATATTCCATGATGCGCGCTTTTTTATTTCAAGTCATAGATTTATTTAATACAAATGGATTGTAAAGTGCTTTGCTGAAATGACGTTTTACACGTACTGGTACACGTTCAATTTGTTAAAAAGAACACCAGGATAGTTACGCGTACGAGTAAAATCACTTCTAGGTTTACTCGTACAAGTAGACGTACACGTTCGAATGCTTAACCTCTCTATTTTGAGCAAAACTGACTGCGCTTTATAATTTGTTAGTAAAAGTTTAGCAAATTTTGCGTATTTTTCTTTTTCTGAAAATTCGAATGGTTTGTGACGTCATAAAAACAAAAAATGTCAATTACCTACTTTGAAACTAATTTTTTTGTTAATTTAGTTTTTTTTTCATTCCATATATATAATTAAGCACATTCCAAGTATTTTTGTAAATGAGACTTTTCTTGGGCCAAAAAATGCAATATGGTTCTTTTTCAATTAAGATAGAACATGCCAAATCCAAGGTTATTGTTACCAAAGCTGAGATGGTGTCACCTTTCTTGCATGAATTGAAGGCGGATGTATTATGTCAGAACTTTAATGTAGACCATTTATCATTTGAGGAGAATACAAAGTATGCAATTCTAGATATAGGCACAAGTAAGTATAAAATACATTATATGTACATGTACATGTAAAGATCTCAAGCTATGGCAGATATATGCAAGAGTCGCATTTTTAATTAAGAAGAACATTCCCCGAGCATCCCAATAAAGCAATTGATCATTATTGATTGTGTGCAATATGATTTCCTATGATTATTAAGAGTGTTAATTACAACCAATAACTTTAAAAATATAGAATCAAGTGATGGAAATCGTTGATGAATGAAAATAAATAATATATAATTGTATTTAATATTTTAGCTGCGTGTGAACTGACTATTCTTACTTCAAAGAAAGATGCAAAAGACCAAGCAGGTGAACCAATTAGAACTCCATGGTCCAAAACTGTAGAAAATCTTTTTCTTGAAATGCTGGATTCTATGTTTGGAGCTACTGTAATGAACAAATTTAAAACAGATAAAGCGGGGGTACTAGAACTTCTCCTGTCATTTGAAAAGATCAAGACAAGCAAAGATATTTTTAAATTAAATGCGAAACCAGAACCATTGCCAATGCCTTGTGCACTACTAGATCAGTTATCGAATGAATTAATCAACACATATCTTAAGGCAGGGAATACGATTAGAGAAAAGAATAGCCATATTTCAGAAGAAGAAAAGAAGGATTATTTTCTATGCATCAGCCCCGAGCAAGTTCAGGAGCTCTTTGAACCTATGTTAAAAATCATTGAGGAAACTATCTATAAGCATTTTTCAAACGATCAAAACAGTGACATTAAATGCGTTTGTATAATTGGAGGATATGCCAATACAAAATTAGTACATAAAAAAGCTAGGAAGTGTTTTCCTGAGAGAACGGTTGTTATTCCAAAGGAAGCAGACATAGTCGTTGTCCAAGGCGCGGTGTATTATGGATACAAATATATAAACGATAAAAAATAAAGAACAGAAGAGAAAATCTCTGGAATATAAAATCCCAGAAAGACTTTAAAATTATTATGTCCTGTATATTCTTTATAACCTATACTGTAATATTAATAAAGAAAAATCATTCTTCTTAAAGAAAAACATGTTACGTGTAATATTATGCTAGAAAATATTACTTTCACAAAAATATATCAGTCCGTTATGGGAAATGTGTATAAAAATAATCATTATGTCATCTTTAAATCATATATGGTTGTTTTGGCAGAAAAGGCTAGTTTAAATAGTTTTTAAGCATTTAAGAGCAGTTTTATTGACTCTTGCATTTGGAAGATTGATTGATTGATTGACTGATGAATGTTTTACACCGAATGGGCAATATTTCAGCCATATATTGGCGATAAAAGAAAATGAAACATTTTTTTCTTTTTTGGAATAATGGACATGTTTCCTGGTATTTGTAATAAATATGGTAATAATGAACATTCTACAATCACGTGGTCGATTTACATCCGAACACTTTATAATTTTACATAGCATGTGTAGGTACATGTATAAAAATAAATCACATCATTGTAGAATTGCAATATTATTTTATTATGACAAATAATGTTTAAAATGAAAATGGAAATTGATTTTTTATTTTATATTGTGTACTACTTGTGTAACCATTTAATTCATTCATAAATTAAAATCTAAATTTCAATTATGAAGTGTACAGAATAAGGCAATCTGCCTTTAAAAATACTTTAAATTAGACATATTAAAGTTTCTTGAATAATGGATTCATATTTTGATGTAAGCCTGTGTGACGTACACAACCAAGGTTATACACTGTACAATAATTTGTTGTCCTATCCAATAACACGTAACAATAAAAAAATGAAATAAATATGAATACTTATACAAATCTCTTTATAGCGTACTAATTTTACAAATACATCCAGTTATTTGTACTTATACATTAAGAAATGATTATCTTTCCTTTTGTTTGATCGGTATAAAGGGGGGTTAATTTATTCGCATTTATAAAAGGCACAAAGCTCTGATACATTGATATTTCTATTTCATATTCGGATATTTACTATTTACTAGAAAATGCATTTGTGGTACATGTAACATTATGACTGTGTGGAAATATGCATGATGACGTTATGGTGTAATTGTTATTTTTTTATGTAGTAATATGTACCCTTATCATGAGCATCATCGTCGGATTTAATTAAATTTTTTAAAGTTTTTACGAATATTTCATGACTATATTGATTGGTGGCTTCTTATATTTGTGACTGAAACCCTGTCAATTGCGTGGATGCTAACTTACCAGATTCGGTATCATAACCAAAATCCATCTCTGATTGGTTTTCAATAGACGACTTAAAAACATTTTAGAAGGATATCCATGTTCGTATGATAAGTCAGGCGGAGGTAAAAGTTTTGCAACTGATTTTGATGAAGAAATATGAGAGACGATCAGAAAAAAGTGCAAGTAATGTTATTCCATAGATATTCTTCATAAAAGACTAAAACCGACGTCACACACGGGTAGATATATTCATTACCGATGTCTATCTAAAACGTCTTATCGTTTTATACACTATTTCAAAAGTTACATACAAAAAAAGAAGGGGTAGTCGTACACACTGACCATTTTCTCGATCCAGTGATATTAAATCTACAGTGAAGGCTGAAAAATACGATGGCCGATAACAGCTGCCACATCACAACTTAACTTACTGTCTTGTGTACATAAAAAATTGTACAATTTTGCACAGACAAAATGCACAAAAACCTTTGTTGATAAATGTACATGTACAAATTGACAAATTCTACTATGTACAATATGCTCAGAAACCTTTGCTGCTTTTTGTACAGAGAAATTGTCAAATTGACAAAAATGACACTTTCTAACAAAGAAACTTCTGATGGACATATTTATGTTGATTTTAAACTTTGATAAGATAATTGAGATCATGTGCGATTCCAAGCCGAAACTTGTGCATATAGGCAACACCCATCAGCCACCCAATTCTAAATTTATAGGACCCGACATAGTGTTGTGATTTTTCTTATTTCTCTTTCATTTTGACATCGTTTTGAATAAGCTATTGGTTATTGACATAATTGTTTGTTTTTTCAGCAGTGTGTTTTGGCGGTTTTATATCGTTATATTGATGTATTAAAAATCTAAATCACGGCCCCACCTTCATCAGGGATTCCTGCCGTAATTTCTATTGTGGCAAAATAGAATTTGTTAGCAAATCATTAATACTTTTATGCTTAGCATATGCAATCATTAGTTTTGTTTAAAAAAATGTTTACATGTTTCATATTTCAAGATTAATGACCAGTATTTTAATAATTTGGATTTCAGACCTTTGATTTAAGAAATGAATGTAATAATTTTTTCTTTGATCGCGTAGCGCATTGATGAAAAAGTTTTCCGTCCAAATTTTTCTTTGATACATCGATCAAAGAAAAAATTATTACATTCATTTCTTATCATTTAATTAAGATTTTAAATTAAGAAAATGAAAGTTTCTTTCACTTTCCTATTAGATTTATGCATCAAAAACGTTGCGCACGAATACATCATCATTACGTTAACGTTGCTGAAAATTCAAAATGGCTCTAACAATGCTAAAGAAAAACGTTCTCAAATATTGTCGTGTGATTACCAACAGTCTCCAAAATAATTTACAGTTCTTTAACACAAAAAACTTACCTGTTGTGTTATCCCTCTGTGTATATTTTCCCCGGTAAGTTATCTAATTTCGTAAATGTAAAGGGAAGCTACTCAAATATACCAATAGTTCTAGGTCACAGAAATTTTGGATTTCATTTGCGCATCTTTTCATTTGAATTTCAAACCGAATATAATTATATACATATCACAACCTGTCAATGCTGTAAAACCTGAAAGAGTCTGCTGCCGATAGTTCAAGATTAAAGAATTCCATCCTCAATTCATGCAGTGTCGTTTTTCTCGATCACTCGTTTCCCACGATTTAACAGATTTTCGGTTTTCCCCGCTTTGGTAGCATAATAAAACTTTTTTTCAGAGTTCTATTGTTTCATACCAGATATCTCAAAGTCAAACATTTAAGAAAAGTATGCCGATTATACGATTTCTTCCCTTCTTTCCCGTAACTGTATTGTCGTCATGCAGACGAATTTAATTTGTTTAGCAAAGGGGGATAATTCAAAATGAAACGAAAGTAGAAAATAAGCCAGGAACCTAACGGACAGGTTCCGAAATTCAGGAAAATATTTATTATAGCAAAGGTATTTGATTATTCCTTCAAAAAGTAACCTGGAAGCGGGGAATATACATGTACCGACTGTCAAAGTAGTTCCGGCTGCTTAGTGCAACCGAACTCTAGATTTTATTGATGCAGTTATCAAAAGACTTTTTTATCCAATCAGAATCAAGTATTTTATAGAAATTAAATGATTTTTAGATCATACTTTGTAATTAGAACATTAGGTATTTCCTTCGTTTTCTTGGTTTCTTGTAATGTTATGACTCTGTTCAAAGTCAAGAAGTCATTAATAATTGGGTCAATCTCAATTTTCCTGTGGACTCTCTTTTTAAAAGATGTGATCTGAACTCAGTAAGTTCTTTACGTAATTGTGTCTTGTAACTTGTATTGCAAACGTTCTTATACATTCCCCCTTAATAAAACCGTTCATTACTGATTTGTGGTTAGTGCTGTGGCGGTGCAAATATTGGAATGTATTTTTTGGATTTATATATGACTTCACATCAAGAATATGATATTCTTGGAATCGAGTTCCTTTGTATACATATGTGTCCAGAAATGGTAGTGATACTTCAGCTAATTCATAGGTAAATTTCAGTAAGGGATGGCATTCATTTGCTGTTTCGAAAAATCGTTTGATTTCGTTTTCCGAGCCATCATAAATCATGAATCCGTCATCAAAAATTCCATCGTTTGATTTGTGCGTTTTATCTTGTAGAAAGTTTCGGCTTGGAATCGCACATGATTTCAATTATCTTATCAAAGTTTAAAATCAACATAAATATGTCCATCAGAAGTTTCTTTGTTAGAAAGTGTCATTTTTGTCAATTTGACAATTTCTCTGTACAAAAAGCATCAAAGGTTTCTGAGCATATTGTACATAGTAGAATTTGTCAATTTGTAAATGTACATTTATCATCAAAGGTTTTTGTGCATTTTTTCTGTGCTAAATTGTGCAAGTTTACATGTACACAAGAAAATAAGTTAAGTTGTGATGTGGCGGCTGTTATCGGCCATCGTAGAATAAAGAACCTATATAAAAATGAGAAGCATTCTTGATATACCTACAAAAATCATTTTGAATGAAATGTGTCAGATTTATGGAGATTCTGCACTTTCGTTTAGCACGTACAGTCTGTCGTTGGTTGAAAAAGTTTAAAAATGGTGTTGACGTCGTTAAAGATTCTTCAAGAACAGGGCGACCAGAGACAACTGTTTTTGGTGGAAACGTGGCTGCAGTAAAGAAAATGGTAGATGAAGATGGTTGATATACTCTAAAGTATATTGTTAGTGTCGTTGGTATCTCATCAGCAAAGGTACATGAAAATTTGACCAAGCTTCTCAACCTACGTGAAGTATGTGCGCGTTGGATACCGCATCTCTTGACACCAGAACAAAAGACAACGTGTTGGAAATTTGCCAGAAAACTTTTAAAAATCTATAAAAAGTGAACAGGAGAAATTTCGCTGAACTGCTAACAGGTATCTCGGGATAATTTTACAAAAATAATGTACTGAAAAAAATAAGAAACTGTATGAAAAGAAAAGAGCAAAGACAGATTTGAAGAACATATTAGCTAGTTCATGACAATGCTCCTGCCCATAAGAGTAAAACAGTTCAAAGTTTCTTGAAGGAGGAAAAGGTTGTTCAGCTCCCACATCTCCCGTATTCTCCCGACCTAAGTCCTTGTGACTTTTCCTATTTCCTAAACTGACAAAAATGTTATCTGGACGTCGCTATACTTTGCGCAGTGCAGTAGGTGTTGTTGTTTATCAATGCTTAAACAGTATTCCAAAGGAAGACTACCTCTGGACTTTCAAATCATGAGTATGCAGATTGCAAAAGTGTGTGAATGTAAAATGGGGTTATTTTGAAGGATTAAAGTAGTTTACATTTTGATACGTATTGTTTTCATTATTTTATAGATATACTAAAGTCTTGCAGAATTTTCAGATCGTCCCTGGTATGGTATTATTATCCTTGTAGTTTTACCTTTGTCTCCATTATGA